CTTCAAATTATAGCAGCTTTCCCTCTTCACAAAATGTGATTGGATGTTTGATGGCAACACATTTCTTTGAGCCTTACACATAACCTGCATATGTAAGGCTTTCAAGAAAACCTATTCCCTCCAACTTGTGTTGAAGCTTTAAAACTCGACCATGCTGAGAAAGGAAAGCTTGCTGGATAAATTTCCACACAAATACTTTCTTAAACATTTAAACTGGTTTATAACTCAGTTGATTTTTCAGAACAAAAGCAACAAAACAAAGTTGTTCCTGAAAACAAAACACTGGAATTATTGAGCTTAATTCACTGTAAWGCTTCAAAGAACTGGGACTCAAAAAGCCAGCACTTTCAGATAKTTTACACTTGAATATTTAAAACAAACATGCAGCATGTTTTTGTCAGTGCATCGTAAAGTTCTTTGTATATTGTTTTTTGTGGAAAAAAATAGTAAAATGCTCTTGTCTTACATTACAAGCATAATGCAACATATTAATATTTAGTACATGTAGACAAGCATTGTTTTTTTCAGATAAAAAATAAATAATAAATAAGATAATAATTATTAATTATAAATTCTTTAGGAAAACGTCTACGTGCAGCAGAGCCYGAGGCAATTACAGAATTTTACAAAAACCAGAGGCACAAATGCCTAAACAACTRTCGGTTATTGTTACATTCCAGCAGCATCAGAGTCAAATATTCTCATTGCCACATGTGCATCAGTCAGACCTCTGCTCAGCCGACAGTCAATAAATAATCCTGGGACCCCTCAGGGGTTTGTTGCACTGTGGGTCTCCAGCCTTTGAGTCTGTTTGCAGCAGCATGTTGCTGAGTCTGCAGAGCTTCAAGGCTGACAGCAGTTCTCCGTGTCGTACGGAGTGAACTTGACAGAAGCGGGCAGCTGAGCGATGATGCTCGTGTTGCACATCAGCTGGGCGAAGACGTGGCGGTCCCTCATCACGTCGGTGAACAACAGCTCGCTGTGCGGCGAAGGCGGGGAGATGCTGCGTCTGCTGCTGCGCTTCCTGGACAAGCTGAGTAAGCGTTTGAACAGGGACCTCCTGAGGAGGATGTAGATCCACGGGTCCAGGATGGGGTTCAAGGAAGCGATCCGGATGGCGGTCAGGTCTGCTTTGGGGTCATCCTGGAAGTGATTGGCAAAAATTCGCACCTGAAACAGATGAAGACGTGAGCAAAACTCAGAAGTGTTTAAAAACATTTGCAGGTTCTCTAACTAAATGCTTGAAAAGTAATTTTCATCATCATAAAATAATCATWCAATTATTGTATTATTTTCCTGATACTGAGTGATATTATCATCAATAATCAAATTATTAATTGAATGAAAAACAACCTCAAACCCTGAGTAAAAAGTGAGTAGGAAATCTCATAAACCCAAATTCTAAAAACAATTAAACAGAAAACATGGTTTTAAAATAACACTATTGCTGTTAATTAAACACTAAACAATGTGTTTAGTGTTAAATCAATGCCAGTAGTGTTAATTTAACACAACCATATGTGCAGGGACAGAGAGGGGTGGCCAAGGTGCCAAGTTCCACCCCTCTTGGCTGGCTACCCTAGGTGCCACCCCCAAATACTTGACAAGTGGGTGGGGATCTTGGATTTTGCATTTGCATGTAGATTTTGATAAAGATTGTTCTCTGATACTACACTGTATAAACTTTCAGCTGTGTATGAAGGCTGACTTAAACAGCCCTTTGTAAAATTAGCTTTAGCAAAGWTTAAAATGTCCACCCCCACCCCCTTCCCTCATCTGTGAGAAATGTATGCACACATCACTTTTACACTCATATGCATCCTTCACTTTACTTTACTTTTTATCAGCATTAAGCTTCTGTTCCACTATAATTGCAATATTCAACTTTTTCTTGTATAAAGATCTTTATTTTTGCACTACTGAGTACCGCTCCATTACCTGTTGTTTTTGTGTTGATGTCACAAATTAATCTGTATCTGTGTCCAAATTGTATTACACATTTATTGTCACTTTTTTTGTTTATTTACAATGTTATTGGACTGTCAATTTCTGTTGATTACTTGTCTAATGTTGTAACTGGGAAAGAGAGTAGCGCAATTTCAATTCTGACAGTTAAACTACCGGTACTTGAATCTTGAATCTTGAATCTTAATTTGGGATCAGAATCAAGAATCACCATGTGATCATTCTTATRTACTACACAACCAATTTAATCTCAATAAATCTTAAAATGACTGAACTACAGTGGTGGCCTCTTTAATTTTTTAAATAGCATTTAAATTTTGGTAAAGAATGTTTTTGGCTACTTCTACGTTAATCTTCGGCTTTGTGTGTTTAAAAATGGCTGAATAATGAGTTGTGACGCATTCAGAATGTTTATATTAGATAATTATTTGCTACAATCACACATTTTCAGCTCAGTTATTTCTTAAAACAGCAGACTTAAAGCCATTTGGAATTACTGCATCTTCAGTTTTCAAATAAAGAGTGATTGTCAAAAAGAAAAAAATTGTATAGGTCTTCTGGACGGGTTCTTCTCTAATGAAACGTTTCGTCTCTCCTCCAAGAGAC